GCGTCATTCTCTATGTCATCCCCATAAGCTTTTGGTTCCACCAAATTCATGTTTTGAGCATGTTTCTTATAAATAATATGATCTCCATGCACATCAAGTTCTCCATTAATTGGTTAAACCAAAGGTTTAGAGGCCATGTTATTCTTCCTAAGTTGAGGATGGACAACAAAATAATCATTGATCAAATGTCCATGAACTTTACAGTATACACAAAAATCTAGAACATTTTCAAACTATACTTTCTGTAAGTACCCAGAATCTTCAGATCCGAGCCAAATGACTTTAGGATACTTCTTAGTAATGTCCAATTTGATAAGAATCTGAGCCACTGAAGGCCTTAATTGGAGGTGATCTCTTGCTCGGTTTGAAGAGGCCTACCAAAAATAGATCCCAAAACATAAAAGACATAAGAATTAAAAAAATGCAACTGTAAATTAGGAAAAGATATCCAAATAGGAACAATGGATGATTCCACTTTGATATCAAAAAATGGTGTCCATTTCAGTAGTCTCATTTGATAGTTTAGAATATAGTAAGTTCTTCTAACAAAAACTATACTGTAATCAAGATTATTGAATAATTGAATCGCAACATGTCTAGCATCAAGTAAATCGATAGAAAAATTAGCAGATAGTTTCAACTTCACAAAAAAATGATAATCACATCCAGATTAGTATATCATACCACAAATATTCCAACAAAAGTGAATTTAAAAGGGCTCTCAATTTAATGATATCGTCATCAAATATCAAAAAAGCATGGAAACCTTTTACCTTATATTTTTGGAGAAAATACGATCCTTTGAAGGGAAAGATGACAAGAACATTATGAAATGAGCAAGATGTATTGTCATAACCATCATTACCAAGAAACCTTTTGAAGTTACATCAGAAAACGAAGGAGGAACTCCCCAAGGGCTCAGAACCACTGAAGGCGATCCAACCACCATGACAAAAAAAAAGTCGTAAGGCCAACCATCCTTAGAAGAGGGATAAAAATTGAGCTAAACACAGTTAAAAAAAATTGAAAAACAAAAGTATTGCCAATCTGTACTAGAAACTAGGAGAGAAAATAGTAGAAACAGTAATTGCCCAAAATTTGACAACCAGAGTAGAGAGAGCAAGCTTGGTTTTATTAAAAATTTCATGTCAATCATACAAGGTAAATTAGGATTCACTAATTGACTGGCCAAATGATCTCCAAAATTCTTTAAATTTGAACCCTAGGTAAATTAAGACCTAAAGAACAAACTCGAGAAGTTTATAATCATCAAAGCCTACTAAGAGTTCAAAATTGATTTATAAAGTAAATGCATCTATGGCTTATAAATTTTATTCGGGATATCTAGACATTAGATTGGGTTGAAATCAATAACAAACTAACCATATTGCATAACATTAATGAAACACAAACAACCAAACCCTAATGTTTTATGAATTTGTGTTTAGAACAAAATTAATCTCTAGGTCAAATTTTGACCTTAGAGATTGATTTGATCAATTAAAGCCCTCGGAGATTTCAAATAGAGGTGACTAGTCTTAGACATATCACAAACAAGTCCAAGATTAATATCCCTAAGTTTGAAATTAATATGAATTTTTTTAATTAAGAATTTCAAAAATATATCGGGATGTATTTTTGAAATTACTTTACATGCTTTAGAAAATTTATGTTTAAACCATAGAGCTTTTATTTTACTCCTCAAGATAGATCCATAGAGCCTAAGATCACTAAATTTAGACAAGTGTGTGTGGATTTATGCATTTTTTTGAAGTTTTAATTAATTTTATAACAAATTTAATCCAATTTAGTTATCCAGTCATTGAATGTACATGTTTTTTACATATGACCCTGTCTAATTGGATGGCCAATCATTGGTGACACAACATATTCACATGATTTAATTATTAGCATGTGATATCTCTGGATTAAAGACTCAGAATTATGAGATGAATTAAAGGATCAGATATGACTTAATCAAAACTATTGATCAAAACCAACTACCTTCATTTTATCTTCAACCTCCCATGTGATTCTTTAGCCAAACAAAAATTTCTTCAAGATATGGGAGATTAACTCCACAGATCTTGATGCAACTTCTCAAAGAGCTTCATCTAAGTAAGAACCTTCAATTTAATAATTAGATCCTATTATATTGAAGGTTTTTTTTCACACTTGACTAAGAGAGTGCTCATATTTGATTTCTAACCTAACAAGAGCTTGAATTGGGTTAGATCTCGATTGGGGTAGACTCTTCTGACTCCAAGGAACTAATCTCGTTTAGGTGGCAAAACCAGAGGGTGGATGGATAAAAACTTGATGTTTAGTTAGGACGGGCTCACTGAAATACTAATAAAGAGTCTTGGTGATTGAGGATGGAAAACTCGTCTATTAGGAAACTTTTGGAGGTAAGAAATAAAATCCTTCTTCTTAAGAAATTGAGATATTTATAGAGTATCTGGAAATACATTTGGCTAGGAATTCAGCCTCCTTTGGCTATAGTAGTCATAAATTTTATTATTAACAGTCCAATGGGAGTCGAGAATGGTTTTTGGAAAGTTTTGGCCCATTTGAGCACATGGCTATTAAGTTAGGGTTAAACCTAGGTGATTGGATTAAATTTTCTTGAATTCTAGCCAACTTAGACCACCACCTAGCCTGAGATGATTGGGTGAGGTGTCTGGAAGGTGCTTGAGTTTAATGCATGTGAATACAAGGCTTGAGTTAGTCTAGGTGTGAACATGGTTCATGGATTTAGGGAACTTAAGGGTTTGGGTTAGCCCAATTAGCTAACCAAGTCAGGCCATGGGATGGGCTGACCATAATAAATGCATAAGGTCATAGATCTCCTAATGTAAGTGTTGGTATATATCAATTTGATGTGGGTTTAAAGATGCTCATATGGAACCCTTTTTGACCCCTTGGGTCAAGTCATGTGGCTAACCTAGGTGGACTGAAGTATTGGGTCACCAAGAGATGATCCTTGGGAACTCAATGGATAGTCTCACAGGGTTTGTATGCCTATGGTATAGAGCATTGAATTTAGTGTTTAGAGGGTTTAGATTTAGCTTGGTCAACCATGGTTGACTTGGTCAACAAAGTTGACCAAGGTTTGGCGTTGGGTTCAATCAATTCCAAATGATATTTGAAACTTGTTGGATGAGGTTTTAAGTTATGGCATTGCTTATATACCTGAAATGTTTGTTTAATGGCTTATGGGTTGATTTGATCAATCTAAGTTGACTTGGTCAACTAAGCTTGACCAAGGCTTGAGTTTAGGTCGAATCTACTTTAAATAACATTTGATGTTTGATGGAAGTGGTCTTAATTATGGCATGATTGATCCAAGAAGGGTTTACTCAAATGTTTATATACTATCATTTTAGGGTTTAAGGAATTTTGATCAATCTTAGTCAACCATAGTCCACCAAAGTTCAATTTAGTTTAGCCATGTATGATTCAAGTTCTAGAAATATTTAGAGGGCTTGGTGGGGCTATTTTTTTTTTAATCTAAAGGAGGATTTGGTGGGGTTTAGGTATGCTTTTATACATGGTTAGGGTTTATGATAAATATATCCTCAATTTGATTTGGTGACTAATGGTGGTCGCTTTAGTCCATTCAAGGGTTTAATATGATCTATGTATGATCATGAATGATTGTTCAATACCTATGCTAGGAATCCTTGTCGTGGATTAGCCAATTCAATATAATTCATGCATATGAAGGTTTTAAGTTTAAAAGGATTCCATATGTCAAACTAAGTCAACCTACGTTAACCATGGACTCAAATGAGTCTAAATTAATATAAAAACGACTATAAGCATGTTTAGTGAAGTTACAAAGACTTATAGTGCAGTTTGTTATAGGATGTCATGTACAATATAAATATTTGAAGGTTTTACAAGCTTGGAATATGCTTTATGTTTTAGGATTTAGAAGGACATGAAAACCTCCAAAATGATTAGGTAAACTCTAGGGACATGCCTGATCAATATGCAAATGATCAAACATCATTCCAGAGCCTTCAACCAGGGTTTTGAATCAATTAAAAATTCCCCTAAAATAAGGAAAAGTCTGAAGGCTTTAGGTTTTAGATTTGAACAATGGATTTTAGTGTTTGGAGTTTTAAGCTGAATTTTGATTTATATTTGATTTAGGATTGAGGTTTATCGTTGATTGAAGGGTTTATGATTGAAATACTCAAATCATTGACAATCATTGGGTGATTGGTAGGATTGAGTGGTTGATCAAGTGACTATCATGGGTGATTGCAAAATGATTGATTTAGGGTTCAATGATTAAATAACCATATCAGAGCATAGTGAAAGGACTGGATTTAAGCTTTGAAGTGGATTTCAAGGAATTGAAAACCAAAAGTGAAGCTTTGATTTAGGGTTTCAACCTAAAAATAAATGAGGTCAAGAATGAGCAAGCAAATCTTTAGCGAGTAGGCTAAGTTTCTGTAGGGATATAGGGTGGAACCAACATTACATCTTGGTAAAGCTGACGATGGGTGTTCTAAGATGTGGGTGGCAGGTGTAAACACATCCAAATAGTTGGCGGCGGGTTGTTTGAACTCCGTTGTCTGACAAAAATGAACAAGATGGGAGAAACATTGTGTGTGAGAGAAATAGTGAGAGATTGTGCCAGCGTGAAAAGGATCCAGATTGGATACAGGTGTGCAAAATATATTGTTAGGGTGACAGGAAGGGGCATATTCTTATTTTATAAGTAAAAGTCATTTGCTCATCCTCACAGAGTCTGGTTCTGTCCATATAGGAAGGATAGACATTAGTGATTTAGTGACCATGTCGAGCTCATGATCTTGGTGTGCTCATGGTTATGGCGAGTTCCTGCCGTGTGACGAGTTCATACGCGCTAGTTCGCTAATTTTATCCTGTGCATCCAACAAGGTGTTTGGAATCTGGCTCACTTTAGTTGAACTGGGCGCAAAGGACATATACCTACCAAACTCTACAATTCATATGTTGTATTTTTAATAATATTGATGATTCGTATCCGAGTCTCGACGGTAGAAGCCCGTACCAAAGGCGAAGTCATCGAAGCTGAATCTCTTGTACTCCACCTTATTTTCTGTTGTGAGGCGGCCAAACTGAGGGAGGGAGATAGAGATGGCGTCCGCGAAGCTAAATGCTCCTTCGAGCCGCTGGATCCGCGGCGGTAGTTCGCTGAATCGGCGGTTCGCGTTCAGGACGGAGATTCCACGGGCGGCGACGATAAGGGCTGGGTCATACACCGAAGAACTTTTGCAGACCGCCGTAAGTTCTTCCTGATAATAACCATAGGATCCCTTTAGACTTCTGATTTCTGTATGCGATCTTTCATCTTTTTCTATGTTTAGGAGTTGATATCCTCGTAACTCTTACCGTTTATCCCTCTTTGTCACCATGCTTTGATTTGCTTGTTTTGAATCTACTAAATCTTTTTTCTCAACATATTTTCTGTACCTATAAATTTCCGTTCAGGCTTGATTCTTCTAAATCTCATTAGCCTGCAATGCATGTGCACTTCTTGAAAGAATTAGAAAAAAAAAAAAAAAACTTTCTCTATCCCATGTATTGTTTTTTAGCCTAGAAAACCAATTTGAACCATGAGCTCAATTTTTTAGGCTTCTTGTTACGGATCAAGGGAAGATTTGAAAGCATTCAGTTGATGCTTCAAATTTATGATGATCTACCCCTTGCATTCAGTTGTTCTTATGCTGCCACCTAAATTTAGTAAAAAAACTGGTATATTTTCTTTATTTATTTGTAAAGACACCTACAGTAACTGGGAAACCCATCGAAGCAATTAGTTAAGGGCCTGTTTTGAATGGCTGTAGCTATCCTTAAAATTCAGTTGTGAAACTAATGCAACTTAAATTGCTCGTTAATGTTGTGGAAATCCAATTTTCAGTTTGCTATGCTGCTGCTTTATGTTATCAAATGATCTAAGTGCCATAACTTATATTGGAGCACATTCCAGTTAGTTATTGTGTATTAAATAAAATCAATTGCATTTCCTTAAAACTAAACATAATTACGTGATCAGCTAAACTCTAAAATCATCAAGCAAAAAAGAAAATTGTACAAGTTTTAGAACACGTGTAGCCATAGTTACAACATTCATTGGAATAATTTATTGTCTTCTTTGTATTGCTTGGCCAGTAACAACATTCTTTTTTGTGTTAACAATACTGATATTAATGGGAATTATATGCTTGCTTGATCAACTTATATAATTTTCTCTTTTTCTTTGATTGATCTTGCTTGTTCTTTAGCTGTGTTCTATCTTCCTCGCACTCTTTTGTCCTCTGGAAGTTTCTTATAAAAAATTTCCACTCTTCTCTGCTGAAATGGATGGTAGGTTGGTTGCCTAAATTGACATCTCTCAAGCAGAAATTACTACAAGTTATATTTAGACCCCTCTCCTAGGTGACATTATTCTCCTCCATTCCTTGTTTTTCCTAGGTTACTGCCTATTGGCTGTGGTATAAATGCATGAATTCAATTGCTAAAAAGAAAAATGTAATAACAAGATTTTGATAAAAGTACATTCATCTCAAATTGTTACAAGAAAAACAAATTAGCCACAAGATTTCATGTGAATTATTTGAGTTTATTCAAATGATGGGTAATGTATGGCGCTAGTAGTAGAGAATATGGGTGACGACTTTGCAATGCATTGGTCGTAATAAAAATTTATTCAATTGATCCAACTTTTCGTTCGATGCGTAGTAGAACTCTACATATATTATATACCAACACACCCGAAATTCGATATTTGAAGTTAATTGACTAATTAATCCTTAATCTAACTTTATTTTGATTGGATAATATTTGATCACTCAACTAATAATTGTTATTAATGAAATCGAAAGAGAAATCAGTAGGAATTTGCTAAAAACACAAAATTTATGTGGTTTGGAGATCAATCCTCCAAAATTGTTCTCGACATATTTCAATATATTGTGAAAATTATAATTATAGATCTTTAAGTCTTTTATGTACTTGCATGCTAGGGTGGTCAACAATTGAGTAATAAATTACATTATCTCTAAGTATTCTTAATGAATGTACCTATAAAATTACAATATTCTTAAAATCTATGTCCTGCATGACATGATGCCTTATTGTTACCCCTTCAACTCAATAAGTCATTCAAACGCCGTAAACCCCATAAATTACCGGCGTATTATCCGTCATTCAAACGCCGTAATTTTCGCCGGAAGCTTCAACGGTAATTAATGGTTTTCCTAAGAATGAGGGGAATGATAATTTTGCACAAGAGCTTCTCCAAAACTTTGATGCGTCTCACCACATCTTATTCTAGAACCCTTACCAAAGAATGAGGGGAATTTTATATCTCACATTACAAGTCTCAACAAATCTTGCAAACATCAACTCCCTCTCAAGTCTCACCATATATTCTACACATCAACTCCCTCTCAAATCTTACCGCATTCATCTATTTTAACCATCCAATTTGAATTATACTAACAATATACACCTCAAATCCCTCTCTAGACTCAACAACAAGAAGAATACCATGAACAAAATGTATATATCATCGTATATTAATGTCTACCGAGAAATTCCATGTAAAAAGAAAATCTTACGGTGGAGTTTCGTCAAAACACCGGTGGAAGTCGGCGACTGAGGCGGCGAACGTCTGCAATCTTGGTGGTAGTCCGTTAGGCGATGGTTGGTCTCGGCAGCGACGGCGTTCAGTTGAGTCGAATGGAAATGGCGAGAGGAATCAAATTAAAAGCCAGATGGTTTCGGGAGAGAAATAGGATTTTGACTGGCAGATTTTTCGACAGCTAGGATGCCGGAACCTTTTTCGTCAAACAATGCGACGGAAAGTAGCCGTCGTGTTTAAATACACTGCCGTAATATCCATCAGTGAGTATGCTGGAAATTACCGACGGAAAATATGCCACATTATCATAAGGGTTTCACAGATTTCGATGTTTTTTTACGACGAATAATGCGCCTGATATTTACCAGTGTAATATATGCTGGAAATACCGCTGTTATATTACCGTCGAAAAGACTGTCAGTTTGAACGTCGTAATTTCCTACGTATATTTTTAGGTCGGAAGCTCCGATGGTAATCAATTTTAATGTAGTGATTTTTACCCCGAATTGATTCCGGATCTTAGTGTGAAAGATATGAAAAATGGTGCTAATGTCATATTTATTTTAGAGGAGATAGATCTAAGATACCCGAGTACAATCATCAATGAAAGATACAAATCAACAAGCCCCAGAGATGTTGGGGATTTTTGAGGGTCCCATATGTCACTATGAATGAGATAGAAAGGAGTATTGCATCTCTCATTTTTGTTTGGAAAAGTGATTCTTTTATGTTTAGCTAATTCATAAGTTTCACAATGAAAATGTTCATTTTCCAAATTATGAAAAAGTTTATGATACATATATTTTAGGACCTCTAATGATGGATGTCCTAATTTGAAGTGATTAAGCCAAATAATATATTTCTTGTCAACAAGAGATAACATAGTAACTAATTTTAGATTTGTTCAACTCTTTCAGGTAATACAATCCAACTTTCTCTTTAGCAAGTCCAATCTTCTTCCCCGATCTTTGGTCTTGAAATAAGCAATAGGTAGGGTTAAATAGTGCTTGACTATTATGGTCACTGGTAAGTTTTTGTAGAAGGTTGGCATACTCCATCACGATCTTGTTTTCTTGTTTTGTGTTCCGTACTTCAATTTTGATTTCAAAGATTTGAGTAGCATCCCGAGCTTTTGAGAAAGTTTGTCTAGCGGCATCCCATATGTCCTTTGCAGTGGAGAGGAACATAAATGTTATCGCTAATTTCTGGAGCCATGGAATTCCACAACCATGACATAATCATGGAGTCTACTTCATCCCATGCCCCAAAATTAGGATATTCTCCTTTTGTTCCTCCTCTAAGGAGATGGTGTATTCTTCCTTTTCCCTTAAGTAGGCTTTTACAAATTGAGACCACTTTAGGTAGTTCTTCCCGTTTAGGCGATAGGAAGGTTGCATACTTTTAAGATCGCCTCTTTCTTGGCGTATCATAGAATATTCTATTTGATCAAAATTCTGGGATGAATTTTCTTCATACATTGTGGTGTTACAATAAGTAGTAATAAAGACTACGTTTAAAGGCCTATTTTTATGTACTTTTATCAACAATGAAGGCTGAATAGGGTTTTAATAGGTCGGGCTTGAGACTCGCGTAAGTAGGTTTTGCTCGGGACTCGAGGGGAAAAATAGGAAGTCTCGGCCTGATCTTCCCTGAGCGGAGGGGTTCCGTCCCGCTTAGGGCTAGTCTTCTCTCCTCCCGTACGCGTGGATTGTCTAGTGGTTCCATTTGCAAAGCTTTGTCAAGGTCGCGGCTTCTTCTATGAGGTGTCGGCAAAGTTGCGACTTCTTCTTCCTTCCTCGAGGCTTCCGTCGACAAGGCTTTGTTTCGCATGTTTGCGGCTTCTTCTTCCGTCCATGAGGCTTCTTCTTCCGTCGGCAAAGCTTCGTCCATGAGATCTAGGTTTCTACTTCGGCCTTCGTCTGGTAAGGGTTCGTCCCACTAGTAGGCTCCGGCTCCATTCTTCTCGCTCGACTTCCTATGGTTTCCTCTTTACTTCCTTCGTGGATCTGATACCATGTTGAAATTAGGAATTTGAGAGGGAAAAACCATATAACCTTACTCAATTTCTTTCCTATTTATAGGTCTATATAGGATATCTAAACAAAGTAACAAATATTTATAGAATCATGTGTAATAGCCCTAATACATTCCTTCCTAAATAAGCTACTTCATTTTAGAAAGGAATTAGTATGATCCTGCGTGATTATTGCGAGCTTATCACGGATTGATCTTCATGGTCGTTGGATCTCCTTCGAGAGGGAACGATTGGGATTTTAACATAAAATATTAAAAAAAAAGGAAAAAGATCCAACAAAATATTCATGCACATTTATGAAAAATAATTTTTAAAATAAACAGTCATTATAATTAAAATGATAAAATTTATAAATGCACTTAATGTTAAGGAAAATGATGCTTTAAAAGGAATAACTTTCTGACAACAACAATAACAACAACACCATCAAGCCTTTGCCCCAATACGTGGGGTCGACTACATGAATCCTTTTTCGCCTGTGTCCTGTTATAAAGGAATAATTTTCTGAGAGAAAAAAAAATTTCAAAATAAAAATTAATTTTACATATAATCTTGGTACTTTTTTTTTTTTGAAAGATGCAGATTGCATTAAATAGAAAATAA